GTTTGGCCCAAGTAGACTCATAAAAATTCCTGTCAGGTTGAAACATTTCTTACGTTGACAGCTAAAGATTCCAAGCTTCTGATCAGAACTTGATCTTTCTGGTGACCTGCCCTTATTCTGCAACTATCCAGAGGCCTGCCAAGAGTTGCGTCATTAGAACAAAAGACAGTCTTATCACCCACATCCCTTAGAATTCCCGAAGAGTTAGCTGCTCTTTACTAAAATCCAAGAAAGAAGATCAAACTTATTTTTGTAACATCACATGAGAGAACTGATGCTTCTCGAGGTGGGTCACTCACCCAGAGTCACACAGCCTGCAGGTGGACTCTGTATCATCAGTGAGCACCTGGCACATAAGCTTCTCTTTTTGAGGGGGGTTTCTCCTTCTATCAGAGGGATTCAAAACTTAAACACTACCTTTCCCCTACTCCTAGTGATTGAGAATCCTGATGTAAATTGAGTGCAGGTTCTGAGGTTCACTGGTTCATGATTTAGAAACTAGAAGAAAGATGGGGCTATTGTTTCTGCTACTGGGGTAACTGATGGGCAGGCTGTGACAGGCACAGCTTTATATGAAAAAGAACATGTTGTTTTTAACTTCAGAGTGTGGCCGTGACAGTGCGACCTTGAGACCAGACTTGCAGGGGTAACTCCCTAACTTCTATTTCTATAGCTATTCAGTGGTATCATAAGTGCTGAATCTTTGTGTAAAAGACTTGTCTACACACAAGTTCATGTGTGCAGGTTTACTTGTAAGAGCCCCAAACTGGAAAGAACACAAGTGTCCATGAAGGATTAATAGATAATCAATATTAATACATTCCTGGAATGAGATATAAATAGAGAATAAAAAGAGAGAACTATGTCAATATAGCCAAATTTGGCCTCACATCAAATACTTTATGATAAAAATTTTGAAAATTCCAGAAAGTGCCAATGAATTTATAATGAAAAAAATTGAAGAGGGTTCTGTTAACACTTAAAAAGCAGGTGGAGAAGTGAAGAAAAAGGAGATTACAAGAGGGCATTAGAAGACATTAATAGTAAGGGACATGGTCTTTATTTTCATTGTACAACTTCTCCGGTGCATGTGTCTGAAAACACTTCATAAATTGCACACTTTCAATATGTTAAGCTCATTATATTCAACTATAATTCAATAAGAATACTACAATTATATTTATATCTATGAAATATTGCCTAAGGTATAAATTGAATACAAAGTAGAAAACAAAAAAGAAAAAAAAGAAGATACCCAACTTAACATCACATTTTCTTTCCTGTGTTTTTACTTGTCTACAGGGGGCGACAGGATTACTCTGAAGAAGGAGCCTTTCTGGGGCACCGCCGACTTCATCTCAGCAGCACCCATAGTGCAGCAGGGGAACAACCTCAACAGCATCTCTCATTCCACAGTCCTTCTAACTCTTTATACCTTGCAATGGACTCTGTCTGCTCTTCCAAGCAGCAAAGCATCACCCCTACAATGTCAATCTTCTAAGGAAGATTTTTTTTCAATCCCTCTGTTTTGTATGGAGTAAATGTCCACTAACCCTCCAGGTTTCTGCCCAGTGGATATTTTTCTGATAGGTGCTCTCTGTGCTCCCCAGACCGGCCGAGACACAATTACATACTCTGGAGGGACCAGAAGTTTTCTTTTGAGTCCCCTTCACTGGATTATAATTAAGTTTCCAGAGCCCTGATTTACCTGACAGCATGTCTCTGTTACAAGGAAAAGTCGATGAGCACAGGGCCCGTACTTGTCCTATTCTGTTTGGAGTTTCCAGGGCCCAGCCATGCCAGATGCTCCACAAACATGCATTAAATCAGTAAGGGAAATTACCCAGTGGAAACCTGTCACACTATGTGACACTTGACATAAAATCATGTTCCTGTAAACACACAGGCACTGGTGTCAGTATGACAGGAGGATGCCACCTGCTTGGGGACATGCGAGGGTCGGGCTTTTATTTTTCATACATTCAGGAGGAATGAAAGGAACTTACTAATAGTGAGGGGTTGGACTACATTTTATTCCTCCAAAGTCACAACCCTCCACATTCCCACCTTGTGAGTTATGCCTCATCACCCCAGGTCTGTGGTTTTCCTGTTCTCAAAGATACCTGAGAGGACAGAAACACTGGATCCTCAACCCCTGGAAGAGCTGCTTCCTGTGAAAGAAAGAATACACTCTGACCTTGTCGGCATCAGGGAAGACTTTCCATTCCCAAAATTCTTGGTCTGTGGGGCACAGACTGCCTGTTGTCTTTGAAGACATGTCCCCACTTTAAGATGTCCTGGGGAACAAGTGAAACTTTTTGTGCAGAATGGGACATAGAACCCAGAATGTGTGGTTGCTTCCATCTCTCAGGTGCTGGGATTCTAAAAGAACCTATTCTCTCCTAGTAAAATAACACACTGGGGTCCTAGTTGAGTATTCACCTGGAGATGCTCCTGCTTCACCACCCTATGAGCAGACAGGGACACAGAAATGACTTACATACTTCACCACCACTACATCACCACCAATGCAGTGATGGTGGACACACAGGACATACTTTGGATGCATCCTCCAGGCCAGCACCCTTTTACACAAACCTCAGGAGGACCTTCACTAGGCCCTCCTTTTGGATACTTGAAAGCTGAAAGCACTGTATTTCTCAGCACATGCCCCTGGTGGGACAGTGATCCTCACACTGGACTCATAATATTCAAGACAATGCATACCTTTTCACTAGGTTCACCATGTACTGGGCAGAAACCCTGTGTGGTATCTGACATTGGCTGTAGGTCTGCTTCTGTTCTCTAGGGCACAACATTGAGATACACAGGAAATAGACACAGGAACTGGGCTTTGACCAAGATGGAGAAGTAGCCTGAGCTTCATGCCCTGTTCCAAAAGGCCTTTCTCCAGTCCTCCCTCTTGACTGGTCTGTCCCACCTGCTACTACTAGAGACTGTCAGCAGAAAGGGGCCATTCAGTAACCCTGACAAGCTTAGGGATCACATGTCAAGCCTGACAATACTCACAAAATATTTCTATCAGAAATTTATCACTTGTCAGATTGTCATATCGCAGGCTTGTATTTTCCTTATGAAAGGTCAGTCTTTAATGTAAGTGAGCCCTGATCCACTTTTGTGCATCTTGGGAAGCATAAGTTTGACACATCAGAGTGATTTTGTTCTCTGGACCATTCACGTCACGGAGTCTGGGACAAGTGTGTGAAACCACAACATCCTTTATGCTATCTGGACCCCTGCACACCTTCCCTGTGTGCTCTAAATGGTAATTATCCTCTACCCACCAATGTAAAAAATATGTGTGTCTCCATTTTGCCTTTTTCTTTTCAATTCTGGAGATTGCTTTGCTATGTTTTATTTCACTTTCTTCTGGATTTTGTCTAAATTTTTGTCTTCTATTTTGATGACAATGTATAAAATAATCTGAAAAAACTGCCTTTGTTCAAATCATTTGAGTGCTTTCTCCAAGGCATATGAGGTCAGTTTGGCTCAGATAAACTCATTACATGGCTGTATAAGCTTGGAGTTTTTTTTTTACCCAGAGAGAGTCCAGAAGCACCTCCTCTCTTAGGGGTTCCTGTGCTGCTCTCTACTCTATGCCTGGCATCCTGCATGGACAAGCATGGGGAGTCTGCCCAGGGATAACTCAGAGGTTTTCCCAGCAGCCAGCAGCACAGGGCAGGTCCTACAAAAAGACTTGGGGAGGAATGGTCTACCTGAAACTGTCTCTTGAGAACCAGGCAGCACACAGGCACCCAAACTTTCACAACAATCCTTTCTTCCTGGGACACAGAGAGGACATCTCCCACTTCACACCCAAAACTGCATGTCCTACTGAGAATTCTGGTTTTGAGTTTTTGTCCCTGGAAGCAAAAGCCAGTCTGGTGACCACCTCAGATAGAGGAAGAGTCCCCTCTGCAATTATCACTGAGCTTGAACACTTCTCATTCCCAGAGTTATTTCTATTACCTTCATGTGGGAAAAAAATAAAACCAGAGAGCTTTTGAGAACATGGGGGAGACCTGGTGCCCAGCTGGGTTTCTGTGTCACAAATAAATAACCCCCTTTTTTTATGATATCTGGGGCTCTCTGTGTAGTTCTGACAGACCCAAGCTAAATGCACAGCAGTTGCCAATGCTGGCATTAGTGAGTCATCCTCCCAAGACACCCATGTCCCTGTCAACCTTGCTATTGCAAGTGAGCTCCACAAATGATAATTAAGATCAACCTCCCCACAGAGCTTGTCAGATACAGAGTCTCTGGCCCACTGCATCCAGGCAGAATCTGCTGTTTAACAGGATCTGGAGACTTCCGTTGTGCACAGGCCAGCAGGAGAGGAGCTTCTACTTTGACATCAAAGGATCTCACTCTGAATGGGCATCCAAATTTGCTGGACAGCTGCGTAAGCTGCAGTTTTAGGTGTCACCTGGGCATTGCAATGTTATACTGTTTCACAGGTGATGTGGTACATAGCAGGATTGACTTCCTTCTGACAGGTTTCTGTGACTTAGCACAAGAACTACTGCTCTGAATGGAAGAGTCAAATGTAAAAGAGGCATTGGAAAAGACTACTGGGCACCTGGCATGAACCTGCGGAAAAGCCCTAAAACCCAGAAACCCAGGCTTGTGCTTTTCCAAATACAGCATGACAGTGGGTGTTTGTGTGTGCATATGTGTGTGCATGTGTGTTTGTGTGGTGCTGAGAGGCCTCAGAAGTTCCCAAGGAACCAAATTGTAGGAGGGCAGTACTGGTTAGAAGGGCCACGGGTGGCTAAAACTAGAGCAGGGAGTGGTATGGTCATGTACATACTCCCTGCCCCTATCCCACATGACAAGATTGGTAACTTTGCCCCAGAATAAAGCTCAGGGCTCAGTAGGACACACAGCAGATTGTACCATTTGGGACAGTGGTTGCTGTGAACCTCACCAAAAGTGAAGCTTCTCTCAAAACAGGCACCACAGAGCAGACAACATACACCATGGGATCGCTGTCAGTCTCTACCTACAGAGGACTTGTCCACTGGAAAGGGCTCCTGCTACTTGGTGAGTAGGAGATAATTCCTTGGGGTAGACTAAGGATCTGACCCAGAGACTGGCTGGAGTCTGCTAAAGACCCAGGGATCTGAGAAAAGAGGGAAGGCTTCTGTCTGGACCTGAGGGTGAAGGACAAGGAGCAGAGTAGGATGGGTAAGGGGGCCCAGCAAGAGGAAAATCTCATAATCTGGAAGTGGTGGGAGGCAGGAAAATGTGGATTGCTGTGTATTTCCTGTTATTAATCACTGAGTATTGAATAATGAAAACTGGTAATAATAATAATGATTTATGTCAGGAAATATTAAAAAAAAAAACCAGGGATGCTAAACATTGCCATCACTACAAAACCCAGAAATGGGAAGATAAACCCCAGGAGGTACAGCACTCATTCATTCATCCCCATCTATTTTCAAGCTGTTGCAGTCACTGGAGCTAGAAGATCAGACAAGCCCTGCTCTCAGAAAGTCCATGTTCTATGGAGGAGAGAGGGACAAGGAAAGGTGTAGATGTGAGGTCAGGTACCCAGAAAAGGCATGAAAAAAAAAAGAGCAGGACAGGTCAGAAAGTGAAGGCAGAGAATCTTTAGAGAAGGCGGTCAGCAAATGTGTCTTTCAAGACTGCCCCTGAGTGTTAGCGTTGCTCTAAGCACAGTGATGAGGTGACCAAGACAAGCACCTGGAGAATAGTATTTGAAACAGAAAAAAAAGTAATAGCTTCAGATGTGCTGAAGTAATGGGAGCCATGCTGTTGACCTTGACCGTGGGAGACACACACTCACCTGCAGACCAAGGCTGAGAGATAAATATACCCATTCAGGATTCAGGGTCTCATCTTTCTGTCCCAATACATAGATATAAATATTGATCAATTTTTTTCTTATTTCCTAGTTTCACTCTTAACTTTCTGGAGCCTGCCCACCACAGCTGAAATCCATGTTTTGGACAGCTTTGCTTCTGAAGGGCAAGATGTGCTTCTACGTATCCACAATAAGCCTCCTGAATCTGTAGGCATAGTGTGGTACAAGGGTAAAGGTGTGGACAAAAATAATATAATTGCATTTTCTATGATGACATCCGGTTTCCATTTAAGTGGTCCTGGAGATAATGGAGAACAGATGATAACTGATGATGGATCCTTGCTATTGAAAAATGTCACCGTGAATGATACAGGACCATACACTGTAGCTGTCCACCTTCCAGATTCAGAACCAGAAATAGCATCTGGGCTGCTTCACTTGTTTGGTGAGTGATTGCTCTCTGATGACTGGAGGTTGGGTGGGGTGACTCCTATTTCACATACATGACTGGCAACCCTGGACACTACTGCCATCCCCCTCTGCATTTTGTTTCAGAGTCAATTTTGACATTTAAGGCAGGATTCACAGAGTATAGACAAATTTCTTAAGATCTCAGTTCCTTTCCCAATGTGCAGTCCTGCAGGCATTCACTGCTGACAGATGGGTCAGTCTGAAGAGAGAAATGCAGCAGAGAGATACCATTCTCAGTTCAGCCCCCTGAGCATGTTCCTATGACTTGAACTGAGGCTAACCCTCTATACTAGGTCAGGGCATTGTCTGAGAGGCCTCCTAGTACTCACACAGAGCTCAGCTCAGAAACCACTCCCCAGAATACTGTGCCAGGTTTCTTGAAACCAGGGACACAAGGCAACCTGTGCCATTTTGGATTTGGTGTCTCAAACAGTCTCAGTGTGTGAAGGTTAATGGGCCTCTGAGTCACAAGGCTCCCGAGGCAGTGACCAGTCCTGCCTCAGGCCGAGGAGTCACATTTTGGCAGAAATGGAGTTTGGTGTTACCTGAGTCTGTGTGTGGAGAGTACAGTTAGACAATGTCTGGGGATATAGCAGACTGTCCTGGGGGACTTAGGAAGTTTCAGAAGAAGGTCAGCATCTCCAGAAAGAAACTGAGGAGAAAAGATGCTCCTGGAAGGTCCTCATTCACCAGGGATAAGCCCAGACCAATAAGACATTTGGGAGTTGTTCAATAAGAAATGTTATTTTGGAGCAGCTCCTCTGTTTCAAGATTAAGGTCACATGCTGACAATATTTTACAGTTAACATACTGATAACCTTTTTCATTGAGAACAAACAGAGGAACAGGAAGATACAGCCACTCTAGCAGACTCAAACAGAATATGTGCAGCTCATTTAACTCACTCTTGGGCTGCCTATAGCCATAGACTTAATTTCTCTACCTTGGGGAACACAGAAGAGGGTCTTTGGATTCTGAACCAAAATAACTGATTCAGAGACTTTTTTTTTATTACGTGTCCTCAGCTCATAGGAATACTTTTTGGTGTGTGGAGTGAAAACATGGAGGCATAGACTATTTTTACTCTAGAACCAAAGTAACTGCAGTAACAATCAGAATCACTGTATACATTACCCAGGCATCCCACTCAGGTGTCCCATCAATCCCTCCCTGAACTGGATTTGACATCACTTATTTGTTTCCTTCTTTGGTGCACTTTCTCCCACCAGATACAAATAAAAGGACTTTGTCTTCTCACTACCCACTCTACCTCTGAAACCAGCTCAGGGACTAATAAGTAAACAACAACAACAACAACAACAACAAACTCAGTTGCTGTTGATGAATTTGGAAGAAATAAATAGGGAATGAATGAAATGAACGAGTGATCGAAAATCACTTCTGAGGCTGGAACTTGCATGCAGAGTCCTTTAAATTCTGACCATGAGGGACAGGCTTTCTGTGCCTCCAGGAACTAAGACCATCATCTCAGATCCTTTTCTTTTCTTTTTCTAAGGAAATAGTCTTTCTTGCCATTAGTTTAAGGGCCTAGGTTATTAATCATCATTTCACACACAGAATAATTTTAAGTTTTTTCACATTTCTATCTCATGGCCACCTTACACAAATTGTACAAGCACCAGAATTTCAGGAAGTCAGTGCTCCCCATTTGCTGTAAGTCACTCTTAATTTGTAATTTTCTTAAATGTAATTTTCCATTTACACAAGTTCTCACCTGCTGTCAGGGGAGAGAGACTTGAATGTTCAAGGGAAAAGCAGACAATTCTGCTGCCATTATTAGCCTCTGCCTATCCTTATTTATTTATTTATTTATTTATTTATTTATTTATTTAGCTAAATGACTTCTTGGACACTGTTCTAGCATTCATTGCCTCACTGGCTCATTTCACTCACACTTCCTGGGAAAACCTGACCCACCTCATGAGCCAGAGGCCCGAGTAGTCAACCTGCTGCTTGCTTGCTTACGGACTTTATTTGTTGTTTCATTCAAACCCCAGTCTTGAGGATGTCCTGAGAAATGGTGCCCCAGAGAATCACACCTCAGCTGGGTGATAGAAGTCTGTGCAGCTGCAAGGAAAGGCTTCTGGTCAACCAAGAAGTCATGTGGTCTGGGAAATATTGTGTTAGCTCTGGGCTGTTATGTATGCCCTTTGTTACATGAATACCTTTCTTCTATTCCCACAGTCAATGTCTTTTGTTAAATGCTTAACTTCTTCCCTCTAGAGATTAATGATACCATGACATTGACTCAGTTGGCAAGAAAATAAAGTCTTGTTCAGAGTGAGAAGCCTTTTAGATAGAAATCCTCAAAGTGGAAGCCATGAACACTGGATTGGGTCATTCTTAATCACTAATAATTTGTTTAACAAAAACTGAATGCTTTTCTACTTGCTGTAAACTTCCCTTGGCCCCAGAGATGGACAAAGGTGGTAACCTTGCCATCCCCAAAGTATATAAATATTTTCATAAGGAGTAGAACCTGATGTTTTGCAATGTTTGTGAAAAAAGTTCTAGGACCAGAACAATAAAGCTAATGAAAGAAAAACTGTACCTGATGATGAGGTTATGAGCCATAAGAACTGGGAAGGGGTTTTTTGTGCTGCTGCTACAGAGATGAGTGAGAAAACAGGTATAGAATCCACCTGAGCTTATATGGGCTCAGAGAGGAAATGCATCTTCCACTTTACATACCATCACCTGAACTTAGACAATTTTCTGTCTGCAAATGTCAAGTACATACTCTGGTGACCTTTACATTGCTCACTGTGGACTGTGAGTGGTGGAGATCTCTGAGGGAGCAGCATGGCTCCATGTCTCAAGCACATTCTCAAAAATTTACATTCTCTGTTTCTTTACAGAGTATCTGACAGTGCCCGTCATCCAAGCTGGAGGGCATACAGTCAGTGGGACTACGTATACTCTGGTCTTGAACTGCTACACAAAAGAACGCATAATCCAGTGGATGTTCAATGACAGGCCTCTGCTACTTACAAACAGAATTACTCTGACCAGGAACAACAAAAGACTAATCATAAACCCAGTCACAGGGGAAGATGCTGGGATTTACAAGTGTAAAGCATGGAACACCACCATGTGGGCTGAAAGTCAGCCCTTTAAACTGCTTTTGCTACATTTGTGACCCTCCTTTCTTCCTCTGAGTTACAGAACTCTAAGTTAAGTTTCTTTGCATTATTATTATATATTTGTCTGCAGGTGAATAGTTCCTAAAGATTTACATTAATTCAATAAACACTCAAAAATGTGAGCTGTCATTGTCATTATTGTTCACTTCAGGTCACATTTCAAACCAACCCCTGTCTTGGTTTGGCCTCACTTGTATTATGTCCACAGTGTAGTTAACATTGTGTCCCTCAGAGAATCAGCAGTTGTCCTGTGCTAACCAGTGAGAGCAGGTGATAAGCTCACAGAATCTGACCTCTGTCACTTCTCCATGCAAACATGAGGATGCACGTGGTCACAATTGTAGACAAAGGGAATGGACAAGAGGACACCCAGGTGGGTAGCAACACTGATCTTAGTCTTTCTTTTAGATAACTTTCAAAACATTTCTAAAGTCTCCACTATTGTTATTTACATGTCAATAAAACTATTTGATTAGTTTAGTCCATTTCTATTCTTTCTGTTAATAAGATATAATTGGAAATTTGGTAATAAAGTGAGGACTTTAGCTCCAATGTCCTAGTTCAGACCAATGCCCATGGAATTAGAAATGAACCCATAGTTTACGAAGCTAAGTTTGATCTCTTGGTCTTTTGGTACCTCCTGGAGAAGAGTACATCATTCAAAGCTAGAGAAACTGCAGGTAAGGTGTGAGGGTGAAGCTCCTTAACCTGAACTGGCAAAACTTCCACCATATGTTCTATAGAAAAACCTTCACTGGAGCAAACCAAGTGGTGAAAGTCAGTTCCTCTGCTCTTAGGTAACTAATGAGGTCAAATCATGTGACTCCAGCCACGTTGTAGGATCAAGTACACATTTTTTCCATCGGGATTATGTTTGAGGAGAGGAAATGTTACTATAGAAAAAAATGTGGTATCTGAATGGAAATCTCCAGAAGCCCAGCCTTCTGGGAGATCAGATTTTGGCTCTGTTCAGGGGCTCTCAGTTGTTTTGCACCTCTTTATAAATTGCATTAAGGGATAGAAATGAAAACTGGGTCTTGGCTGAAAGAGATGTAGTTGTGTTTCCTTCCATTGTGAAGAAAGCAGTTTTGTTATGAAACAGATGCCTTCCTGTTCCTCAGAATCACTGACCTTTACACAGGTTCTTCCCGATTGTAGGCATCTGACCTCCACACCTTTAGAACATTTTCTTAGGAAATGGAGTAGCAATTTTTTATTGCATGTAGGGAACCACTTCACATGGTGTGGAAATGCAGCTAGCCTTCATGTGGAAAACAAGTGGGGAGCAACAGGCACACAGGACCACAGCTATGGAGAGGTTTTCTCGTGGGGAATCAGGCCTACATTGTACCTTGGCCATTATGAGGCTTGCTTTTGCTAAAACTCCCTCACCCTCACTTGAGGCATCAAGTGCTTACTGTAACTTCCTAAAATCTGAGCTAAACCTCCCAAATATGGACTGTAACCATTTCAACCACTGTTTGCCTTGATCTGTAACATCCTTCTCTTTCAAGTAATTCACAACATTCATTCCTTTGTTATCTGTAAAAGGTAAAAGCCTACAGCCAACCTGTGCATAGCAAATGAGGACCATCCTCAATGTTATGTACCCAGAAAAGCAATAAAAGCCTGTCAAGGTAGAGGCCAGAGCAATGGCTCTCACTTAGAGAACTGACGTGCCATCCCTTTTCTCCACAGGATATCTATAGTCCATGTGTATTTGTTCATAGCAGCCCCAACACACATGGATTCTTCTGACCAGGATAAACATCAGCCCCTGACTTTAAATTTAGTTCTCCTGGTGTCTGTGTCTCATCTCTCCGGGATGGTTGAAGATCAACTTCTTTGAGGACCATTGAAAGCATGAGGTAAAAAGACAAACTGGGAAGATTTCATGAAATGTTTGTCTTTACACTTCTTTTTTGTAAAGCCAAATAGCAAACAGAAGAGTCTTTGATTCTTTATCGTGTTCTTAAAATCTTCTCATCCTTCTCTTTAAAGGGTGTTGCTTTCTGGCTCTCTATACTAACACATGGTCTTTAAGATAGTCTCTCTTGCCCCTTTAAATTTGTCTGATGCATCTTTCACTCTGACAGCATCTCCTTGTAATTACCCGATCTTTTCGCTTTTCTCACAGTGCCCATCCTTATCTTATTTTCAAATCATCCCATTTTTAAACATCTGGCTATAATTTTCCCAGTAACTGTTTCCAGTTGTCCTGCCTTCCTTCTGAATTGGTGTCCACAGCCAAACATGACCTGACTGCCCAGATTTCTCTCAGAATGAGTTTGCCTTCAAGTGGCCTTTGTATTAGAATCTGATAGAAAGGGCAGGTGTGAACCTTGGCACCTCTGCAGGGGCCTACCCATCAACAGTGTTTGCATTGTATATACATTTTCATTCACTTTCGAGGAAAATATTACCAAGGTTTGAAAACTATTCTGTCATGAACACCAGAAAGTCTAGCAAACATGTAGGTCCCTGTGACATCAGGCCCCACAGACCTGCACTGGGAGATGCTGTTTTGTGCCTCCTATGACCTGGAATTCAGGGCACAAACCAATGTCTTTCTCTTTGATTTCTCTGTCATGTTTGGAAAGTCCACACCTCTACCTTCAGTGTCTACAATCAGAACTTCAGCAACAGGAAATAAATCTCTTTTCTGGTCTACTTTTTAATCCTACTTGGGTCCTCTGAGGCATTGGACTGAATCCTCTGGTCAGAGGTGGATGGTGGGTAGGCAGAGTTGTGCATACAGGGCACTCAAAAAGAAATAGGATCTGCTCAGAGACCTGATGGGAAAGTGTAAAGCATAAGGCTTTGGGTATTAGGTATTGTATGGATTAAAGAGGACATAAGAAGGTGACTGAGGAGGTTTTGTTAATTAAGGAAACTCAGGACGAGGCTGAGGCATACATGTAAGTGGCTTGCTTACCTCAGTGATGAGGATGGGGCCACTGGAGCTGGTGCAGTAAGAGAGGGGAGCCATTCTCCCAGACTAGGATGGGTATGTGGGGAGAGACACAGGGTTGACAGAAAGAGTAAAGATTTGAAAGTTTGAAAGACTCAGTTTAGTCTTCTAAGAATAGTATAAGAGGGAAAATCAGATGCACTGGGCAACCAATGTAGTGAAACAGGAGACATGGAACAAGAATCAAGGGAGAGATGAGATGAACTTCCTGTTGAGGACTAGGATTCTGAGGAGTGATGAAAGTGTGTAAGATTTTGGACATCATGAGTACACAAATTTTAATCAGGAAGACAGTTGGAATCTCTGGTAGTTACACTAGCAGAGGGGTTGCAGTGGAGCCTGGCAAAGGTGGGGAATGCAGGGCAGGCTTGAGGATGAGGACAAGATTGAAGGTCAATGGTGTCCAGTCTCTATTTCAACCCAGTGGAAGCATATGGTACAGGCTCTCGAGGTATGGTCTGAGGGCCATCGTTTCCACACGGCCTTGGAGAACTGATAATAACTAAAACTCAATCCCATGACATGAGATGTGCCTCAGCTGAGTCAACAAGTTAGCCACGTTTTAGAGGATTTGTGTGTAAGTAGGTTGACTAGGTGTCTGGGGAGAGGCAAAAATAGTGGCTGATGGTGTGTGTGGTTGGGAGGGGAAATTGAGGGCCAGAATGAACTCAGAGTGGATGTTGACTTCTTTGTTGAAAGTGACAGGGAAGTTCTTGTGATTCCATGGTGAAAGCTTTGTGACAGACCCCTTGCTGAAGCAGTAGGTGCTTAAGGTCTGGGTCACATGCCCTTGTCTAATCCAGATCTATCACTTCTGTTTGTGATGGGCTCTGCTCTTATTGCTTGATATTAACATCCATGCATGCAATAGAACCCAAATCTGAGGAGGTCTAGCTACCTTGTCACATTACAGCCCAAATTTAGGCAATCTGAATCTTGTGGGAGTTAAAAGCCAATCAGGAGCTATTGCAGTATTGCTATAGAAAGCATGGCCTTCCCCTGAAGCCTAGAATTCTGAATGTCATTCTCTTATTAGGTCAAACCAGAGGGTTCATAAAGCACCTTTCATTCTTCTAACATTAACTGAATGGAGGTAGAAACACAACAACATGTCTTTTACTCTGCTGGGTATGTCCAGCATAGCCCAGAATGTGTGGCAGATCCCTGAGTGGTCACAGATGTGGATGTAATGCTTGGCCTAAACTGCCCACCCTTGCAGCTAATCTTTTCCCTGGTGTCACTGGTGTCACTGGTGTCACTAATGCCATTGTCTGAAAAAATATCAACATTGGTAGGCATCCACTTCCACCCTTCAAAGCTCAGGTGTCTACTGAGGCATTTAGACAACTTGCCCTTTGGGTCATTTCTACCAAGAAAGCCTGTAGTTCAAACCATTAAGAATGACACTAGTAGTGTGTATGGCTTTTGTGATTGGAGTTTGGTGTGAAATTGACTTGGAGGATGAAGTCATTCCTTTGCCCTGCTGAGGAAGTTTAGCTTCCTGGGTCCGTACTCAGTGCAGTTACTAAGAGCTGCTGGTTCGTTTAATATTCTGCCTTCACCATCCTCAAAAGCTTATTGACTTTTCAACCAGGAGGACCACAGTCCCTTGACACTGACTTTTTCTAGTTTGGCTCCTAAGCATGACCTGAAGTTGGAACAAAACATTTGACCTTATAGGGAGCTGCCATTTGAAATGTGATCATCAGAGGGCAGCACCTATGCAAAGTAAACAGAGGGCCTCAGAAGGGATCGGAGGAGTTTGAGCTTTATCTACACTATTTGTGTCACTACAAGTGTCTAAAGAGCAGAACTATTTCACCCTCACCTCTCCAGCTCACAGAAGATAAGTTCTTCATCTCTGATGTACTTCAATATTCAAATTTAAAGAAAACTCAGTTGTTAGCTCAAATGTGAATAGAATTAAACACACACAATAAAGTTTACACTAAATATCCTTCTTTAGGACAGGAGGGGAAGTTTGGCACATACATGTTCACATCTGTATGTGTGTGTTGGTGATGGAAAGAAAAGCAGCTGAGCATCTTTGAAGAAAGATCTTGTATACATAATGCATGAAAGTGAAAAATTAGCAAGCACCCTGAAAGAATGTAATGGAGAGAAGACTTCAGTCCTCCCCAGAGGGATTTCTTACTTTGGGGCAGATGTTCTCAGCATGGCCCACAGAAGACAGAGCCTTCCTGTGATCACTTTGAGCAGCACACACTGACATACAGGGATTACCACAGTGGTGTCCAGTGCTGTCACAAACGCAAGAAAGGACATTTAACATGAGGTAGTTGGGAACTGGCTCTGTTCACAGTGTGAATACCAAACACAAAATCATTTAATGTTTCTAATTAAGTGGGAGTCAAAATCTACTATAAGGGTTTAGGTGTTCACTCAAAAAATGTATGTCTTCTCTGGTCCTTTCACTGATTAAGATTTCTTTGAATAAAAATCAAGTTCTCAGCTCTTGTTCTGAGTGATAAATGATGGGTACTGACCTATTCTCTGATAGTTTTGTTTTGTTTGCTTCTTTGGTTTTGATATTAGGATCACAGAATTTAAAAAAAAATATACATATAATCCTTGGTATATGAACCAGCCCATAAATGGTCTGCCTTCTTTTTGTAGATTAATATTACTTATTTTCTCTCCAAAAATAATAAATGCTTTGTATTGCTGAGCAGAAAGATGGCAAAAGTC